AGGCCGCAACCTGGGCAGGTTCCATCGACTGGGAGGGCTATTGCGCAGCCTTCGCCTGCCGTGGATTTGCCTGGGCGACTGGAACATCGAACCACCGTCTCTCAGCAAGTCGGGCTTTCTGGATCAGGTGCTCGGCAAGGTGCTACTGCCAGATGGGGTCTCCTACACTTGCGACTCCAGCAAGCTGGGGGGCATGCTGGATTACGCGATCGCCAGCGAGGCCGCCATCCCGTACATCGTTTCGCTCCAGCCCGTGCTGGACACTCCGTGGCGGCCGCGCATCGGTCTTTCCATGGCCATCCGCAGCAGCGGCCTCCAGCTCATGGCGCGCAGGCTCGTCTGCCTTTGCCGCCTCCCGCAGGTGGCCAGGCCTTGCACCGCTCCCGCGCCGGGTTCCAAGTCTTCTGTCGCCAAGAGTGCTAAGAAGGCCCAAGCAGAGGAGGCACGTTGCAAGCGTAATGACAAAACCAATATTCTCTTCGGTCAGGGCGAGAGCCCCCATGCCGAGCCGCCCAGTCAAGTGCCAGATGTTGGTTTGGTGTACGATAGTTTCAGCCAGGCAGACACATTCAGCGCCTGGCCCGACGAGGAGGAGGATCCTTGGGCCAATGAGGGCAATTTCTGCGACGAAAATGCACCTGGGCCATATATCGCCTGCATCGGTGAGTCTCATGCACATGTTGAAGCTCCGCTTCAGCCAGCTAGGGCAGGTACGAATAGTGCCTTTCAGGGACCCCCCCCCCCCCCCCCCCAACCAAAAAAAGCCAAAGGTCAAGCCTCGTTTGAGAGCCCCCCCTGGCGTCTCGGATGCCCCGAAAACGAAGGTTGAGCCTGCCTTTTGTGTTCCTGCCGAGCTCTGGGACCAGTGCCGTGCTCAAAACCAGTGCGTTGTTGCGGGACCCCCGTCGCGGGGTTTCCTCTCCCCCGTAGCATGTTGGCTTAATCCGCAGCACGTGGGGTCAGTCAGTTGTTGGCGCGCCCAGTGGGTCTCCACGCTCGAACAGACCATTCTCTTTCGCCACCAGTGCCCTGCCGCTGGAGGCCCCAGCAGAGCAGAGGGTTGCAGTGTCCTCATCGAGGCGGTCCAGCATCCTGGCAGGCACAGGGAGACGCCCCTTCCGCGACAAGGTCACATCGTGGTGGAAACGGGTTTCGTCCGTACCATTGCAAATTGTATCTCATCAGGGTCGCGGCAACGGCCGCAAGCAGGTGGAACAGCTCATCACAGCGTGTCGGCACTTGGCCATCGACCGACCTGACGGGGTGGAAGGCCCCCTTCGGCCTGGCGGGCCGTCGCTGCCAGAGTGGACAGGACTTCTGCTCGACGTCGAGGGCTGCTCTCCGAGGGTACTGGAGGGCTTTCAGGCACTGGCTCGGAGACTTGAGCAGCGGGCTCATCGACGCGCGGTGCGTGAATCACTCGGGGAGTTCAGGAGCTGGCTTACCGAAGTGGCCTCGTGCGGGGCCGTCTACAGATCGCCACGTGAAGATCCTTTGCCCAAGCAGGAGTTCATCCAGTGGGCAGGTAGTGATGTCGCAGCCGAAGGACATCCTGGACGCCAAGGGCCGCCAGTGGAGCGGCGTATGGAACGCTAGGCCCCACGACCCCGTCCGCCTTCGCGGAGCAGCCGAGGAGGCCGCCAGGGCGGCCCGCGACGAACCGTTGCCACCTATCTCAGGCGGTGAGGTGCGGGCTGCGGCGAGGCGCACGAGGGCGAAGACGGGGGTGGGGGCTGACCGCCTCACACCGTTGGACGTGGAGCGCCTACCAGATCAAGCCATTGAGGAGCTTGGTGCGCTCATGAGTTACTTCGAGGCCACGCTCACGTGGCCGCACCAGACGCAGCTGACCATCGGGAAACTGCTTCCCAAAAAGGCCGGTGGCGATCGCATCATCGGCCTTACCTCGCTATTGGGAAGGTTGTGGTCCATGGTTCGTGAAAGATATGTTCGTGAGTGGGCAAGCGTTGCCGAGGAGGGGTGGGGTGCAGCCGTCCTTGGCAACGCGTCGCCCCAGGAGGCTTTCTCCCGCGCGTTGGGCGACGAGGTCGCCGCTGCAATGGGGATTTCATCAGCACATGGCATGCTGGACATTCGGGGGTTCTACGACGCGATTCAGTGGGACCTTCTGCCATCAGCCGCCATCCGACTGGGGTTTCCTCCTGCAGTGTTATACCTGGAGATGGCTCAGTGCGCCGCCCCTCGCATCCTCGAGCAATTTGGAGCGGCGCGCGAGCCGCCCCAGGTGCAGCATTCCATCATCCCGGGGCTGAGGAGTGGCACGCGTTTCGCCAAATGCCCAGCACTCATGTGAATCTCAGCCACAGGATCTGGGTAGATGATATGTCGCAACGGATGGCAGGACCCAGCAAAGTGCCTCAGTCTAAGGTCGCGGCCTGTCTGGCCGACACGTGTGACGAGCTCACCAACTGGAAGCTGAATGCGTCACCCAAGTCGGTTATTGTATGTTCTATCCATGGCGACGCTGTGGAAATTTCTCGGAGGTTAAAGGCGTGGGGATTTCAGGTTCGCGCTGTCCACCAGGCCCCCTTCCTGGTTGTCGACCAAGGGGGCGGCCGTCGGCACGCCAGAACCACCCGCCTGAAGAGGATTGCCGACCATGCCAAACATCATCGGAAGATTGCGGTATGCGCGTGCGTCCAGAGTTTTCAAGGTCACAAGTCGGCGGGAGCGCGCCAGCGCCGCTGCAGCAGGGACGTATGGACATCAAGTGTATGGGACTTTCGGCACGCAGCTGGAATACCTAGGTCGTAGCCTTGCAGCGGTGGTTGGCAATGGCAGCCGTGGGGTATGCAAGACATCTTTGCTGGCCATCAAGGAACCATTACAGGACCCTGGCATCAAGTATCCCCACGAATGCCTCGCGTTCTGGCTCAAACCATGGTTCGGCCAGCCGTCCATCCGCAGTGGCGTGCACAGAGTGCGGTGTAGTGTCGTTGCCAAGTTGAGGAGGGTACCAGCATCACAAAGATCGAGAAGCATCCGTGGGCCGATGTCAGCCATGATTTGTTACTTGCTGGAGAGGGAGTGGGACCCAGTCAGCCCCACACTATGGATCATGCCTGACGGCACCGAGTGGCGGTTCCCTGAGGAAGGGTACAGCGACATCACGGCACCCAAAGGCATGCAGCAGTTCTTCGGCGATTTAGACCGTGCATCCGAGCTGCTTCTGTGGCGGCGGGCCGAGAAGCATTTCTGCGGCAGCGGCCTCAGCCAGGGCGCGGACATGACCTCGCTCCGTCAGCTGGTGGGGCACCTCGAGGACTCCATGAACGGGAAGCGGCTCGCGGAGCTGATGGTCATCGTTGCAGCAGGCGCCAGCTGGCCTCGCCAGCGCAGGGCGGAGGCTGCCACCAGGTCGGCCGTGGACGTGCTTTGCCCACGGTGCCAGCAGGCCCCAGAGACCGCCTTCCACAGAATATGGGAGTGCGACCACAATCGCGACGAGCTGGCCTACCAGAAGTCTCCACTACTGATACCCGGGGGCTGTGGCCCAATGCGACGCGGAAGAGGCGTTCTGGCTGCGTGGTCTGATGCCAGCCGCCAGTGTTTAGGTGCCGCCCCCTCCGTCTGAAGCTCGCTGGTGGACCAGCGGATTCAACGACGGCCTTTTTGAGGGGTGCCTCGGCCCTGGGTCAGCCGACCGTCCAGTGCTTGCTTTCGGTGATGCCAGTGGCGGGTCCGACTCTGCGTTCCCGCGTTTTCGCAGAGTCGGCCTCGGCCTGGCCACGCTATCGGACGAGAGCCGTCTGGAAATCCAGTGCACTGTTTCAGGCGGCCTCCCTGGTCCGCAGCAGACGGTTCCCAGGGGGGAGCTTTTCATGTTTCTCACGGCCCTTCGGTGGGCCACTGATTTTCTCATTTGCGCCACTGACAACAAAGCTGTTTTTGACGGGTGGCATAACCAGTGGTTTGCCCACCCATCAGGCGAGAACGGTGATCTTTGGGCCGAGGTCGGCCTCGCCCTGGCATGCCGATCTCTGGGCCATGTCACGGTTCTTTTCACTCACAGCCACCTCGAAGCCGCTGATGTCGCGGCGGGCCGAGGTCTAGGCTGGCTCGTCAGAGGGAATATTGTGGCCGAGAAGCTGGCTAATTGGGGTGCCGAGCAGTGCAGGCTGCCGCAAGCTGTTCGCACCCCCATCTTGTCTTTGGAGGAGGAACTCTTTTGGGTCCGCATGCGTATCATACGAGCTTCGTTCGATGCCCTCCTGGCTGAAGGTAAACTAACGAGCGAGTCCCCTGTGCACGTGTGCAGTAGTGGTAGGCGCCGACGTGGGAGAGTTGGTATGTCCCCCCCATTGTCGTGCTGCCGCCGCCGTCTGCTGCCACTGTCTCCTTTTTCGAGACTTAGCCACGCCCTTGATGATTCTGGGCGTCGCTGCCGCCGCTGTCGAGGATCTGCCGCTGTCTCTCAGGTCCGTGCTTGGCGCCACACGGAATGTTTTCGGCTGATTTCTCTCAGTGGCTCCCTTCGTGGGCTTCCTCAGGGGGCGAGGCTTCACATCGCTGGGGGGTGGGCCCACCCCTCCCACAAAATGCGGTTGCACCAGGACCTCGATGTGTGGTTCTGCGCGTCGTGTGGTATGTACGGGGACAAACAATTACTCGGTCTCGGTCGTGAATGCCCCAATGTGGTGTCTCCCACGAGGGCTGAGTATCTGAAGCGTCTAGAGTTGAATCTTTTCCCCAAAGCTTACAGTAAACGGGAACTTGAGCTGAAGGCCCACAAGGGGCTCTGAGGTGGATATCTGGACTTCGTCCTGGCACTCCTGACTCCTGACTCCTCCTGCTCCTCCTCCTCCTCCCCTCCCCCTCCTCCTCCTCCTCCTCCTCCTCCTCCTCCTCCTCCTCCTCCTCCTCCTCCTCCTCTCCTCCTCCTCTCCTCCTCCTCCCCTCCTCCGCCTCCTCCTCCCCTCCTCCTCCTCTTCCTCTCCCCTCCTCCCTCCGCAGCCTGCCGGCGGTGGGGACCGGGCGAGGCGCGGCAACCGTGCACAAGCTGGTGGGCACCACCAAGAACCTGCTGCAGGGCCTCGAGGATCGCCGCCGCCCCCATTGGTGCCGTCCCGGGCGAGGGGGTCGGAACACGCGCAGGGACGAGGAGGAGGAGGAGGAGGAGGAGGAGGAGGAGGAGGGGAGGAGGAGGAGGCGGAGGGACGGAGGAGGAGGAGGGAGGAGTTGGAGGATGAGGAGGAGGATGAGGAGGAGGAGGGAGGAGGAAGGAGGAAGGAGGAGGAGGAGGGGGGGCGTGGAGGAGGAGGAGGAGGAGGAGGAGGAGGAGGAGGAGGGAGGAGAGGAGGAGGAGGAGGAGGAGGAGGAGGGAGGAGAGGAGGAGGAGGGGGAGGAGGAGGAGGAGGAGGAGGAGGTGGAGGAGGGAGGGAGAAGGAGGAGGAGGAGGGAGAAGGAGGACGAGGGAGGAGGAGGAGGAGGAGGAGGAGGAGGAGGAGGCGGAGGAGGAGGAGGAAGAGGAGGAGGAAGAGGAGGAGGAGGAGCAGGAGGAGGAGGAGGAGGTGGAAGAAGAAGGTGGAGGAGGAGGTAGGGAGGGAGGGAGGGAGGGAGAGGAGAAGGGGTAGGAGGGAGGGAGGTAGGGAGGAGGGAGGGAGGGAGGGTAGGGAGGAGAGAGGCGGGCAGAAGTGAGGGATGATGATGATGATGCTGCTGATGATGATGATGATGATGATGATGATGATGATGATGATGATGATGATGATGATGATGATGATGATGATGATGATGATGATGCTGATGATGATGATGATGATGATGATGATGATGCTGATGCTGATGCTGATGCTGATGCTGATGCTGATGCCGATGCTGATGCTGATGCTGATGCTGCTGATGGTGATGATACTCATGCTGATGGTGCTAATGATTGGAATGATGATGGTGATGATGATGATCATGATGCTGATGATGTTGATGTTGATGATGATAATGATGATGATGATGATGATGATGATGATGATGATGATGATGATGCTGATGCTGATGCTGATGCTGAGGATGATGATTGTGATGATGCTGCTGCTGATGATGATGCTGATGATGATGATGATGATGATGATGATGATGATGATGATGATGATGATGATGATGCTGATGCTGATGCAGATGATGATGACGATGCTGATGATGATGCTGCTGATGGTGATGATGGTGGTGCTGGTGTTGGTGGTGGTTGTGGCGATGATGATGTTGAGGAGGAGGGTGAGGAGGAGGTGGACGAGGAGGAGAGGAGGAGAGGATGAGCATGCCGAGGAAGAGGATGAGGGCGGCCCTGACGAGGCTGAGGCTGATAACGCTGGGGGAGGGTGGTGGTGGCAAGGACGACGGTGCTTCTGCTGCCGATGATGGCGGTGCGCAGGCGGCGGAGGAGGGGGACGGACCGAGGCGCCGCGCCCCCGGGGGTGCCCCCGGGCGCCCGCGAGAGCTCGGTGCCGAGCGGCCCGCGGGCGCGGCTGCTCGGCGGGGCCCCCGTTTGGGCGCGGCGCGAGGAGCCCAGCGCGAAGGGCCCTTTCGGGGAAGCGCGCCTGAGGCCCGCGCGGCTCTGTGGCCTCCTCCTCGGGGAGCAGAAGGCGCGGGCCCCAGTGATATACACCACCACCACCACCACCACGTCTCGATTCCTCCTCCCTCCTCTTGCCCTCCTCTTCCTCATCCTCGCTCCTGGCAGAGGGAGGGGGTGAGGGAGAGGTGGTGGTGGCGTAGATGTTTGGGACCCGTAGAAATCGAAGAAAAACAAACGCCATAAACGCAAACGTTTGGCGCTCCGCGCGGGGTTCTTCATCCGCGCTGGCCGTCTCGGCGGCGTCTCCAGCGCCACCCTTGGCGCGCTCCGCGCGCCAGGGAGGGGGATTCCAGCGCAGATCCGAGAAATCCGCGCGGAGCGCCACCTGTTTCTGTTCATGACGAGTTTTCTTCTTCAACATTCGGGGCAACGCGTATGATACCTGTGCTTGCCCGGCCGCTTCGCTCGAGGCTCGCGCGTAGCAATTAGGCAGGACCGTGCCCCGGACCTCCCCTTCGGCGACTGCGTGACCGCGTCAGCCCGCGAGGAAAAAAGTATGATACCCGTGCGTCTTTGTGGCCTCTTCTCGGGAGGCAGAAGCTGGCATTTGGTTGGGAACCTTGGCGCAGCGCGTCGCTCCGCGAGTGTCGACTACACGTCAGAGTGACCTTTCGCCGGAGTGACCTTTGGTGCGGGCCCAGTGGGGTCCCCCGATCGCCGAAGGCGATGCGGCAGTAGCGCCTCGCGCGCTCGTGGTTGGTCCCCCCGCGGCCCCCCAGAAGCCGCGCACCAAAGGTCACTCTTACCCAGGGTCGCTCTTGCGTGCAGCCGGGAGTGCTGGCCCACGCCGTTCAGAGCCCCGAATCATCAGGGATAACTCGGGTCAGGGATAACTCGGGTTCGTTTTTCGGGAATCCAAACCCGAGTTACCCCGGACCCGAGTTACCCCGGATAACTCGGGCGTCCAGAGCCCCGAATCATCAGGGGTAACTCGGGTCAGGGATAACTCGGGTTCCTTTTTCGGGAGTCCAAACCCGAGTTGCCCCGGACCCGAGTTACCCCGGATAACTCGGGCGTCCAGAGCCGTGCCTCGGTGCGGCACGCCGTCCGCCTCGCGGCTCCGAGGCGTCCACGCCCCGAGCGCCTCCGAGCTTCTCTCCCGCCCCGCGGGAGGGGAGCGACACGCCGTCCGCTCGCAGGGCATGGCGTGCCCCGCCGTGGCCGCCCGCCGCGGCGCGCTATCCCAGACGTCCCTGGCCGTAGCAAGTACGGCACGTCGACAAAATGTTGCACCACCTGGTGTCGTAGAGAAAGCAAGCCGATGTTGCAATGGATGTTCGCTTCCCCCCCCCCCCCCCTCCCCCCAATCTTCACATTGGCTGCGGTCCCGGGTTCATCGAAACGGCTCGGTGGTGCAACATTTTGTCGCGGGCCCTGGGGGGGGCGCCAAGGGACCTTTGCCATGTGCCCAATATTAAGATCACGGGGAGGGGGGGAGGAGCAATGCAATATAGCTGACAATGCGCGGCAAAAGTGGTGCAACATTTTGTCGACGTGCATGTCGTGCCTTGTCCCGAGTGTCAGACATTCGCATAAGCAGAAGCGGTCGGAGGACCGCGCGGAGTCACGCCTCCCCCCATCCGTCGCTGCTGCTCTCCTGCGTCTGTGTGTGTGTGTGTCTGTTTGTGTGCCTGCTGTTGCAGCGAGCCTGGGTCTTCGTCCCTGGGGCCGCGTCTCCTCCAGGCGGGCGCGGCTTTTCCTGGCTGCGGCGGTGGCCGCGGCGCGGGCGGACGGAGGGGCGCGAAGAGCCGAAGCTACCCGTCGTCCGTGGTCCTTGCCTGGCCTGGGTGGTGTCGGGCCCAGGTGGGGTGGGGGCATCCGCTCTCCTGCCATGTGGACATGCACCGTCCCAGGGTCAGGAATACAGCAGGCCTCGGGATGAGCCCGAAGCTCCACAAGTGCCGGAAGGTCCTCCTCGTTCTTCTCATGTCTGACGTTGGTCGGACTTCAAGCACGGGGCTCGCAGCGTTCTGACGTGCAACTAAAGAGGCCGACTTCGGCCTAGGGCCTACGACCAACAAAGTAGGCCTGGCTGGCGCAGCGGGAAAAAAAAGACAGGCGCGAGGGCGAAGCCAAGGACAGAGCACCCGCAAGGGCGAAGATTGTGCGCCAGTCAGGCGGTGAAGAAGAGGAGGAGGAGGACGAAGCGAAAATTGATGTTCTTCCTCTTCTCCTCCTCCTCCTCCTCCTCCTCCTCCTCCTCTTCCTCCTCCTCCTCCCCTCTGGCCACTGCTGCTCCTCCTCCTCCTCCTCCTCCTCCTCCTCCTCCTCCTCCTCCTCCTCCTCCTCCTGCTCCTCTCACACTCCTCTTGCCCTCCTCTCGTCCTTCTCCCCCTCCCCTCCCCCGACGCACAGGAGGCGCTCCTCCTCCGGGCCGGCTTCCTCGCGGGGGCCTTCCACGCCTGGCGCTGCGGGAGTGCGCTGCGCAGGGCCTCCCGCGAGGCCCAGCCCCCTGCTGGCGAGACATCGGAGGGAAAGGTACGCACACCTCCCCCCTTCGCTCGTTCTCCCCTTCCTCTGGGCCTCCCGGGAGGCTCTCGTCGCCACCGCTGGATGCGCCTCGAAGTCCTGGTCAGAGCGCACCCCGGGAGAGGTCCTGGGAGTTGCGGTATCGGTATTCCTCCTCCTCCTCCTCCTCCTCCTCCTCCTCCTCCTCGTCCCATCGGGGGCGAAAAGCATATCCGTAGCCGCGGCATCGCGGGCCAGTCCGCATCCGCGGCATCCGCGGGCCAGTCCCCGGGGGGCCCGCGGCTGCGTGGCGTTTTTTTGTTGCGGGGGTGCCGCGCGTGGAACGTATAGCCGTGGGACCGCATGATTATCCGCAGGATCGCGCCCCTCCTCCTCCTCCTCCTCCTCCTCCTCCTCCTCCTCCGATCTCTGAACGCGATGCGAGTCCACATCTCGAGAGCGTGGATGTGGATACATTCGACGCTCGTGAGGCGTCGTTGTCTTCTCCTCCTCTTCCTTGCCGTCGTCGCCCCCCCTCCTCGCAGAGGAGGCACAGATCTTGTCATACAGTTGCATTGTATCCCACCCGGTCGCATTGTACCCCACTGGATGTCGTACATAATTGTGGGGTAGAAAATCACGTCCTCAAGCCCGACCTCAAACAATAGCCAGCGAGCCTGAGCCTCTTGGCGATCAAGTAACCCGTCCCATGGATTAGGCATTCAATCGCAATCGAGATGCTATCTTTACACAGGCAGAATACGCAGGCACACATTGTAATGCCAATTGGAGCTGGGAAACTTAGACTCAGATGGCCAGGGGCCAATGGGGCATGCCGCTAGCACCGAGAATTAAAGCCAGTTGGCCTACAACTCAGTGGGATGAGGAGGGGGAGCCTCGAGACAGGTACGCGGGCTCTCAGCTGGGACCCCGCGGGGCGTGATACGCGGGCTATCCCGCATCAGACGCGCTCCCTGTGACATTTACCAGGATGAGGCAAAAGAGGAAGAGGAGGATGAGAAGAACGGGGAGGTGAGAGGAGAAGGAGGAGGAGGAGGAGGACGACGAAGAGGAGGAGGAGGACGAGGACGAGAAGGAGGTGCAGGACGATGAGGGGGAAGGAGAGGAGAAGGAGGAGGAGGAGGAAGAGGAGGAGGAGGAGGAGGAAGAGGAGGCGAGAGGAGGTGGAGAAGGAAGATGAGGAGAAGGAGGAGGAGGAGGAGGAGGAGGAGGAGGAGGATAATAATAACCAGAAGACGAATCGCCGTAACAATATTACTACCAGTCTTACTAACATCAGCAATCACGGTAATATTGATTGTGGTAATACTATCAATGATGATCGTAACCATAATAATGAAATTGCTCTTGATATCGCGAGTCGCATTAATAACAGCACGCATAATTATACAATTAGTAGTGCTTACAGTCATACGAGCAAGAACGACAATACGATTAATGGTAATACTTGTTCTACTATCAATATCAAGAGTAAGCAGAAGAAGAGGAATAAGGAGGATGAGGAGGAGCGGGAGCAGGACCAGGAGCAGGAGAAGGAGGAAAAGGAGGAGAAGGAGGAGGAGGAGGAGGAGGAGGAGGAGGAGGAGGGGGACGCGTGACTCCGTGCGGGGCAGCACCAGGCAGCATTTCTGTGGCCCCCCTCCCGCCGCCCCCGCGAGTCAGGCCGAGCGGCGCTTCCAGCAGCACCTCGCCCGCAGCCAGGAGGAGTGGTCCGCGCAGCTCGAGGACTCAGGGGGCCGCCGGCCGGCCTGCGCGCGCGCTCCTTCGGAGTCCTTCGGCAATCATCGGCTTCCAATGTGTACATTACATTCGGCCAGGCGGGGCTCGCGCGCCGCATGCCGAACTCATTCGAACGCCCTGACGCGCGTGCTACTCTAGGCCTCCTAGATGGGGCCGGAGTAGATGGGGTCGAAGGAGCGCGCCGCATCGCCGATGCATCGCCGATGCGGCTGGATGTGAAGCCCGATTTGCTTCACGTCGACGTCGCCGATTCATCGCTGACGTCGACGAATCGTCGATGTATCGTCGATGCGGCGCCATCCTCCGACCCCATCTACTCGGACCCCATCTAAGAGGCCTCTAGCAATGGGGCGCGATCCGCGTCAACTAACACCATGCGGGCCATTCGAATTCGTAGCCAGTCTGGCTCAAGCAATTTTGGCTCAAGCCGACAGTGAGGCCCAATGGTTTGGGAACGAGGCCCCTCCTGTTTAGGCTTGTGCTGTACCATCCGATTCGGCACTCTGACCCTCGTGTCCAGTCATGGGCGATGCGGCTCCTGCCTGGTTCGCGGAATTCGTCACGAGACAGTTTGCGTCGCTCTCACAGAGCGTGGAAGAGACCAGTTAGTCGCTAACCAGCCAGGTGAAGCAGATAGATGGACGGATGGCGGTACTCGAGGTCGCGGTTCCATAAGCTGCAAGCAGAGCAAGCAGAGCCTGATAAACACATGATGGAGTTGGCGCAGGGTCAAGCAGTGGCGTCGTCGACGGCTACGGCTTCACCCGGCATCAAGAGGACGCGCGCGGCTGGCGCGCTTGGACCCCAGGACGCCATGCAAGTAGAACCAGGGCGGCTTTGGCTTTCAGGATACCCTCGCGCCGTTCTCGAGGTGACGAGGCGCTTGACATGGGACAATCTCGTCGGCGAATGCCCGTCTCATCTGCTCGCCGGGACCACCGCCAAGTTCGCGAAGACCAGCCAGAGCTTTTCAGTCCATTTCTTGTCGTCGGAGGTAGCCGCGGAGTTCAAGGATTGGCGCATTGCCCAGAACTCGCCGTGGACCCACGCCAGAAATGAGAAGGCGCACAACTTTCGTCGTGTTCGAGCTGACTTGCCTGATGATGTCCGCCTGCGCCAGAGGCCCACTTCAAAGCGTCGGTCCCCTGCGACGCAGCACCTTCGGAACAGCGACAAGCTCGATGACAGCGTGAAAAGTGGATGACCATGGCTAGCGCTATGAGTTTTTCATTCGAACGGAGACCGACCATTTCGTGCTTGCCGAAGGTGAGGTTAATGGTTTGGGCCGTCTTCAGCTCATACCGAACGAGTTGGACCTCCGCTTCTGGGACATCTCGTTCGACGCGACGAAGTTCTGGACTGAGAATTGCAACTGCCGCAGTTGAACGGCTCTCCCACCAGCTACACCGACGCCATGTCGCCCGGAGCCTGCGTCTGGCGAGGGCTGCTCCGGACCGAGAGAGTTGCGCGATGATCGGGGCTTCGCGCTGCCACAGATATTCAGACTGAGTTCGACATCATCTTCGGACGGCAGTTCGGCGTCAACTTCTTTGAGTTCATCTGTTTCCTCCGCCTGTGATGAGCACGCGCGCAGTTCGGGCCCATCCGCCTCTGCATCTCGCCCCCCTCTAGTGATTGCGGAGTTCCCGCCCGAGATGTCAGGCCCGCCTCCTTCGTAGCCCCCGGCGTCTGCAGTGCGCTGGCGGCCGTTTCCCCCCCCCCCCCCCCCCCCCCCCCCCCCCCCCCCCCCCCTCTTCTCTCGGCGCAGTTGCGCGGAATGTTCGCGGGTTGTTTGCAGCGGTGCGCATTCGAAGGTAACGGAACGCAGGCAGCAGATTCCTTGCGTTTAAGAGCCTCTGTCAGAAATGCCAGGTTGTCTGCGCTCAGGAAACGCATTGAACGTTGGCTGATGTTGCGACGCTCCAGAATTATCTCTGCGGTCCCAGCGTGGGATGCACCGCGCTCGCAGACTCTGTTCGTGCTGGGGGGGGGGGGGGGGCCTACCTCGCGCCTGATCTCACTCGCCATGGTGAAAACGTTTCTCATCATGTGGTTCAAGAGGGTCGCATGCTGCTCAGTCTTCTTCTCGGGAGGAATGGGAACCTGGCCACTGTGAGCGCGCGCGTGCCCAACGCATGTGAATCGCTACGATCCTGTCGCAGCTCGATGCTGGGCCCCGACGGCGTGCCGCACCATTGCTGGCGTGCCAGGAACGCGCCACGATATTCGTTCAGTTTGTGTCTCGAGATTGCGCGGGGCAAAATGGAGTCTCTGCCAGCGGACATGGAGGAATTATTGATGGTGCTTTTACCGGGAGGGGAACGCGATGGGGATGTTGTGGGGCAGATTGTGCGCGATTGCTCGTGCACTCGCCCTCTGTCCATGGCCGACGCTGATGTCATGCTGCTCTCTCGCCTGCGCTGCCGGCCTCTCAATCAGCTCTCGCGCCGCGCTGTCGCTCGGTAGCAGAAGTGCATTACAGGGCGGCAAATGCTCGCGGACGTCGCGCAAGCCGAGGGGCGGGGTCTGCAGTCGCACCAGTTGGGGGATTATGATGCTGCCATCCTCTCGACCGGCTTTGCCGCCGCCTTCCCGCCGTCCTCCACGCGCGGCTACGCGATGTGCTTTTTGCGATGCGCATCCCGTTGTTCGTCCAGAATTTCTGCCGCACGCCGCGCTTCAATGATCGCGGCGTTATCGCTTTGGGAGGGGGGATGTTTGACAGTTTCGGTCCTAGCAGAGAAGTTCGCCAGAGGATGCCCAAGCTCGATGGCGCACTTCTGTGTCTGTCGTGGCCCTGCTGCCCGCTGGGTGCAGCATTCGATCCCGCGGCAGCTCTCGCCCTTCATTGCCTATGCTGACGACTGTTTGTTCGGGGCGGTGGAGGCGCCCCTCTCCGCGCCGAAAGTGCGGCGCATATTTCAACTCTTGGATTTTGCCGACGGTCTCGTGCCCAACATTAAAAAATGTCGTCTGCTCTCGCGCGGGGCACCGATGGGGAAAAAAAGGCCTCGCAACTCACTGTTCATGAGTAGGGAAGGATGGAGTTGATCAAGATTTGCCTCGCTGAGAAATACCTGGGATTTTTGATTGGCCCAGAGGCCTCAGGCAAGGCGCGGGCTGTGCCTCTAAAAGAAGTCGGTCGCTCACGGCTCGCAACTTCGTCAGCCCTCGCCTGGATGCGCTACAACTTCTGCCACGTTCAAGATCATGGGCTTCGGCGCGTTGCAGTCTGTCGCGCAGGTTGGGCCCCGGTCGCATAGGGCTGCTGACATCTACAAACGCATGCTCCAGCGTTTGACTTGTGGCCCATAGCATGCGTTCTCTGACGACATGCTCGCTTCGATGACCTAGCTGGGCTCCCCGACCGGATCTCCCGACGCCGTTGCGATCTCCACTGCTTGCCGCGTCCGTCTTGCTGTGCAACGTCCTGGGATTAGAGGGCGACGTGCCGAGCTCGAACGCGTTTCGATGGCAGTGCAGCGTGCTACGCTCGTGCGGATGATCCGCAAGGTTGGCGCCAGCGGTCGTTCTTGCCAGATATGCTCCAGATTGCGAAGTTGACGCAAGGGGTAGTTGACCTTGCAACGAATGAGCCTCACGCGTTCCAACGCGAGCTGCACTCGCGTCTCCGTGCTCTTCCTCCTCCTGAGCCCTCTGCCTTTCAAGGTCTTCTGTCTCGGCCGCGCAACTGGATGCCTGATTTCCTCGGGGGGGGGGGGGGGGGGGCATCCCCTTCTTCATAATCGCTGTGACTCGTAACTCGTCGCCCGCGTCTCCGCGCCTCGCGATGAGCATTCCTCGGATGTGCTCTCGCGGGGTTTGTGCCGGTGCTCGGTATCAGTCCGACCCTCGTGGTTGCATCTCCTGTTGCACGAGCGTCGGGCATGGGTCGACATGTCAAGGGATAACGACGACCCTCTCCGCTACGAGTTCTGCCGTCGCTGTTTGCGAGATACGCGTCAGATGGATAGGTTTTACAGTTCCCAGATTCCCCCGTGGACTTCCTCAAGTCTTCTTATTTAACACTCTGCCTCCTGACATTTCTTGTTGTGCGCCTGCGTGCGTGGCGCTTGTGATGTGGAGCAGATCTTTCGATGTGGAGCAGATCTTTGAAGCGCGGCTCCGAGTGCTCATTCGGCGCTATCGCGCGGTCGTCTCGGCTTGAGAGCCTGTCAGACGTGGACCTGGCTTGTTCGTGCCTGCATGAGCGGCTGGAGCGATTCGCGATTATGTCTTGCCTCGTTCGCCCGGGTCTGTTCTCCGCCATTCGGCATTCGACCTCGCGGGTGGATGCCGCGGGAGTGCAGTCACGCGCGATCGCCGTCCGAGTCTCCGTTCTGTGTCTTCCTACATGGCCCAGTTAGCCTCAGTGCCCCCCCAAAGAAAAGCGGGCCACTCGTACGTCAGCCGCGCGGGCATGTCGAACTTCTTCCAAAACCTACATCGCCGAATCGACGACGCCGTCATCGTCGTCGGCGTGGTCAGCATCGGCGCCGTCTGGGGCCTTGCCGTCGTCTGTGTCATCGACGCCATCAGCATCGCTACTACCATCGTGTCTACCGTTGTCGACGTTGCAGTGATACCGCACCCGCCTTGGTCGCCAACTCGCCCTGAAGTGCCCGTCGGGAAGTGACCGGCGGTCAGTGCCACCGGTGCCGCGCCGGTAACGCCAAATTTGTTGGCCGCTCCGCGCGCGAGCATGCGCGGTTTAGCACGGCCGACGAGATGCACCAGCCAGCGCCGAGCATTCATCGCAGTCGCCGCCGCATGGGCTTTGCCGCCGCATGGGTTTTGATTTCCGGGTGGCTGGGGGGGATGGTTGCGCGAGCAGTGGACATTTCATGGCGAACGAAAATGATTCACTGCGTGGAGCTCCCCATCTGCGCATCGATTCGCATGGGGCCGGTCCGCCGCGTAAGAGTCTCGGCGCACGGGTTTTCGAATGTCAGCGGGCTTGAGTTGTGACGGCCTGGTCATGAATC